GCTTTTCCATATTTTCTAAACTTTCTATACCGGTATGTATTTTTAGCTTCATAAAGAGAAAAATAGATATTAATAACAGCTAGAAAATAAAATAACTGGAATAAGATATCAAATAGATGTTACTATTTATTATAAAATTAAAACTTTTTGGGTTGGCCCTTTTGTGTAGTGGTTAAGTTTGGTGCACTCTGCTGTGGCAGCCCAGGTTCGAGGGTTTGGCTCCCGGGCACAGACCTACACTACTCGTCAGCCATGCTGTGGTAGCATCCCACATACAAAATAGAGGAATATTGGCACAGATGCTAGCTCAGGGCTAATCTTCCTCAGCAAAAAAACAAAACAAAACAAAAAAACCTTTCTAGAAAACATGTTAGCCAGTTTTAAAATTCTAAATAAAATATCAGTAACCAGAAAAGGAAAATAACCTCAGCCTCATTTTACAAAAGCTATCTAATGATGTGGAAACATTAAGATGGATGGAATGAATACCTGACTTTATAAGCTGTGGTTTGGCCCTGGGTTAACTCTAGAGTGGGCTCCTATGTTCAGCTAGCTTTATCCTCATTTATCCCAATAACCAGAGATGGACAGTTTTTGAGAACTACCTTTATTAACAGATCCTCTCTATCCTATAGAAGGAAGGCAAATAAAAAGGTTTCCAGGAACAGAAATGGAAAAAATCATTGTCATATGGACTTAGGGAAAGCATTCACTCCATACCCAGGTGAGAGTTGTGGATTGTAGCATCCACAGGCCCAGCCATTAGCTGCAGGGCTCAGGAGTGAAAACAACCAGTGCAACAGACAAGGGGTTGGTTAGTCAGGTGTTCATGTCACCTACAGGCAACCCTAAAACAGAAGACTCAAATGCGAAGCTTTGCTCGTATGAGCATAAATGGAGCACAATGAGGAAAATCCTAAAAGGGAAAGTGCTGGGATTCTGATCAACGCCAAGTGCAAGCTGTGTGAAGCCATAGAGGCAAGCTTGCTGGCACCCACCGAGATGGCCTGAAGGAGCTCACCTGGGGGTCGTGCTTATGTGCACGATGCTGAATTCACTTAGGAGATTCCCACATCTGAGCACTCAGACCACAGCCAAACTGCTGATGGTTTATATTTACCCCAGAATCTCTTTCAAACTATTTGTCACTGGCAAGCCTATAATACTGTCATATGGGGACTTTAGTATGTATCTAGGCCTCAGTTCCTGAACAGTTAAGTTTCCAGGTTGAGATTTTTGAAATTTTATTTACTCTTTTACATGTTAAGTCACAAACACGCACACCTGAAAGCACAGATTAGAAATATACCTGCATCAGGAATTCTTCTAGATTCACATAAGCAAATAAAGGATCTGTCAGCACTTTTGGAAAAAGATATTTTTCTATTTTCTATTATTCAAATTTAAGAACTAAATTTTAAATGTGTTGGAAAAACCCTTGGTTCATTAATAATATTTCCTATATTAGAAATAATTCAGTTCCTAATTCTATGATCAAATCCAATAATCCCTTTTATGCTTGAGCAGAACTACATTGCAGAGTTCATGTGCTCTTTGTAATAACTATCATCACCATGCCACTCTGAACTTTGGATCCTTTGTCACTGTGGCATGGAAATTATTATTATAAAATTACAAGTAGAGTTTGAGGGAGTATTTCAGACAGTATCCTTTAAAAGCAAGTATGTAGAAATCACTTTTTAAGTAAACTGGATAGTTGAAAACCCCTGCCTTTCTTTACCTCCAATCTGACAGCTCTGTGATGATTCCTCCTGAAAATGTAGGCTGGCTGAAGCATCATTAACCCTGTTCAGTTAACGCTCAGCCCAGTCCTGTTCCTCAGCATTGCTGAGGTCTCATAACTTTAATGTGTAAACTCTTGAGAAAAGATAGAATGCTTTTGTAGTGAAGTGATGAAACTGTTTCTCCTTCCTGGAAGAATCTCACATTTTAAAATCTAAAACAATTTTCAAGTCCAGGAGACTGGTCAGATGGCCACTTCTCATTACTGTAGCATTTTTCCCTCTAAGCTGGGAGGGAGTCGGTGTTGTTTGATGGATGACTGTATTTGTCTTTTGGAAGCTTTCTTTCTCATCACTTGTGCTACTTGACACCACCAAACTACCCTGCTTGTTAGTTGGTGTTCCAAGCCCTCTTCATCTGCAAAGTGCTCACTCCTCATAGTCCCTGGGGAGGTAGCTCCCTATTATCCTTTTCCAGATGGGAAAGCTAGAACTTGAAGGACCAAGTTACTTGCTCAGATTTAGACAGTGTCTGTCCACACAACGTGGAGTGGAGGATGGATGGGGCAGCAGTCTTCAGAACAGACCACAAATCTGCCTGATTCAGGACATTGCCTTCTTCATCCCCCCAGCCTCCTCTTTTCTCCTCTCCTTTCCCCAATAATTCTTTCTCCATAAAATCTCTGGTAAGTGACTCAACTCTCCCCTCCCCAACCTTTTACTTTGCTTGTGTGAATGGAGTCTCAGAGAGCTGGGGAAGGTGGACAAGTTTTGCTGGACTTTGTGTAGTTTATAATCCATGATCAGAGCATCTTGGGAAGAAGTTAGCCACTCTTTCACTTCTCAGCACTGGGCTTACACTGGGTATCTAGCAAGGAAGTCCTTCCGTCATGCTGTTTCTTATTTGCTCAGGGATTTTTGACTCCCTGAGCATGAGATTGATAAGGTAGCTTTGGGGCAACTATCCCTCATTGGGGATCATTCCTTATTCTTCTGTAGACATCATTCATTCAATCATTCATTCCCTCACTCAACAAATATTATGTGCTGGACATTGCCACAAAGATACAGTGGCCAACAAGAATGAGAGTTACTGTGCTCATGGAGCACATTATAGAATGAGAGACGGACAATAACCAAGGAGCCAAATAAACAAACAAGGCAGTTTTACATTGTGATGTACAGTGACGGAAATAAACGGAGGACTTGACAGAGTATATCCCAGGAGGATGGTTCTTTAAATAGGGTTGTCTGGTGTAGGGGAGGAAGACATTTCCTCTACCCACTCTGGGTCCTTCTGGCCAGAGAATGAATTAAATTCACATGAGACAGAATAACAGGAGAAAATTAAACAAAACTTTATAACCTATATACATGGGAGAGGCTCAGGCAACCTGAGCAAGTCACCAAAATGGTTGAAGCCACCACCTTAAATATCATCTTCAGCTAAAGACAAAGAAGGATGTTGGAGGTGGGGGAGTCAGTTACGGGAGGTTACGAGACAATTACAGTAAACAAGAGTAAGGTAATTATGCAGACTTAAGTCCTTGCCTTCCCCATAAGAGTTTCTAGAGATAAGGTCATCCCCCCTTCTTCCTGGTAGAGAGAGGGAGACACCTTTACAGATGGAGATTTCCTTTACAAATGCAAATGTCTCTTAACAAAGGGTAAGTAAATTCTACTTTTCAGAGTTTCTTTCGTCTCTACGGTTTTTAAAAGTAACCAGCCCCAAATAATCCTCATGCCAAAGAGACATATCTTGGGGTGGCCAATTCCAGTCCCCCACACTGGGAAGACCACTTTAAGGAGTTGCCTTCTGCACTGACACTTGACAGAAGGGAAGGGCCATTCCAGGACCTGGAGAAAGACCAAACCAGGCAGCGAGAACAGGAAAATTCTCAGAGGAGGGGATGAGTTTGACTTATTCAAGGGGTTGGAAAGGGGCCAATATAGCTGGAGCATAGTGAACGTGGGGGTGTGGTTAGCAATGGAGTAGGGTCAAGACCTTGTTGGGCTTTGGGGTAGCAATGATTCTCAGCTGGAAGACAATAGCACAGTCACACTGGCTGTTTCCAGTAAGCCTCCATTTGAGTGTCTAGGCCTTGTGTTATTTCTTCACTCCCACCCTAGTCACAGGCTATGGCAAGGATGATTGTACTGTAAAAGTGTGGGTTTCACTAATTCCGGTTAATCTCCCAGGCTATCAAGGTTAGGTGAGCTGTCAAAAACTGAGGAGCTTGGCCCCCCAGAGAGGTGACCATTTCACCCCCTGAGGACATGAGCTGGAGCGGAACACAGGTTGCCCCTGTTCCTGTTCTGACCTTCCTGTTTATCCAGAATTGTTCTGAGACGCTTGCATTTCCTTTGGCAGCCCACACAGCACTTAACCTTCACCATGCAAATTAGTATTAATCTATCAAGGATTCTAGGCCAGCCTGTTTTTGTCCCCATTAACCTCTGGCTAGCCCTACACTTCTCCAATAAAAAGAACTCCATTTCCTAATCAATGGTCACTTCCCGATGGAAATCATAATTATGGTTATGCAGCATTCAGTTAGCATACATAGCTTTTATGAGTGTGATTGATGGAAGTGAGGCAATGGGACTGAGTGGGTCACGTGCCCAGTTGTTTTGCTCATCTTATTTTGCAGGTTATGTAGGGTAGCCATATACTTTATTGTCCAAACAGGGGCACTTTTGAGAATGAAAGGGGGCTCTATTCATAATTATACTCTGAAAACAGACATAATCTGGGGTGGGTGGTCACCCTAAGTTTTCAGTGGTATTTGGATACCACACACCATTGTCATATTTTCTAGGTTTTTTCATCTAACAATGAGTGACAGTCACTCTTTCTTGCCCCTTATAATACAATCAAGTGCTTTAGATCCATCCATTTTATGGGTCTAAAGAGAAAGCCGCAAGATGGCCTTCCTGATTGATTGTCTTTTACTGGTGACTTATGCCAAGCTTATGAAGGAAATAGCTAAGCCAAAGCTTGTAACCTCAGTACTTCCCTGAGGCTCTAGGTGGTTAGGAAGGTGGCGGAGAGGTCTTAAAGCTATTTGCTCCCTCACTCTCTAGTGACCTCCCTCCAGGAGGAAAGCGCCTCTGAAAGAGGAGAGGTAGAGGTGACCTGGGGATAATTTGCCTGATGATCTTTGGTCAGACCACCTGCTAGTGACAGTCAAGGTGGAAAGGGAGTTATTCTCAAGACAACAAATACTTTGCCACAGTGAGAACCTGTTGTATGTGCTAGTAAGAAATGGACGGTCTTGAGGGAAAGCAATGAACAGGGTGAACCCAATTTATTACTCTTGGCATTATGGGAAACAAAAATATATAACCCTGAATATCCTCAATTGGCAAGAATATTTTTTACTGTTCTTTAATTTATTATAAAATCTTTAAAGAGAGTCTTGACTGAATGTTTACTTGCTTAAAGAGCACAAAATTGTTGGATTAATTTAACATTGTATTCTGTCCTCCCTCCCCAACCCATATTTAAGCTGAAGTCTATTAGTGAAGTTAAAGATGTTCTTCACACACTGAGTCCCAATGACTTTGTCAATGATTTTTTCCATTGGCATGATGTTCTTCAAGATGCAAATTATTCCTAAACAGGATTTAATGGTTCATTTTTTCTGAGGACAACTTTTCTTCTTTAATATGAGGACTGACTGAGGCCTGCTGTGAAGAGAATATTGAGTTAGATGATTCAGACTAACAAAGTCTCTCATACCACAGTTCCCTGCTAGAGTCTTCCTAAGCCACGTCAACACGCTGAGATGCTGACATTTACAGGGAAGCTCACCTAATCCTCCAATGACCCATCTCCTCTCGCCCTGCCCACTGCTGTTTCCTACTCTTTCGCATTATTATGCAAAAATTGAGCCTTCTCTGTAGTGGGAAGCTACCCCTTCAAACCCCTCATTGTGTACTCAGCTCAGTGCAGCTGAGCCTACAAGTAAATATTTTTAGGAAACGATTGGGATATAACTATATAACAAATAAAACAGGGGTGGAGGTGTCGTTTGATTCTATGCAAAACTAACAAATTACGCAGCATGAATCCCATGGATACAGGTTTAAGGATGCTCTACCCTAGAAGAGTTTTGTCATCTAGACCAGTGTCTAAAAAATGCAATGTGAGCCATGTATGTAACGTAAAATTTTCTGGTGCCACATAAAAAACAGGTGAAATTAATTTTAATAATTTACTTTATTTAACCCAATATATGCAAAACATTATCATCTCAACATGTAGTCAGCATGAAAAGTATTAATGAGATATTTTATAGACCTTTTCATGCTAAGTCTTTGAAATCTGGAGCTTGTTTCAATCCAGACCAACCACGTTTCACACACTTAATAGTCATGTATGGCTAGTGGCTACTGTATTGGACAGGACGATGCAGATGTAGACCATCGCTACTCAGAATGTGGTCTGGGGACAGATGGACAGATGCCACTTTGTGAACTGTTTGGTACAGGTCCACAGTGAGAGAAGTTCAGAAACTGAAAGGAAGTGTTTAAAAACTTTGATAGCAATTTGACATTGCCGTGACATCTAAGCATGTGATCATTTTTTTTTTTTAATAGCGATTTAGATTTTATTCTTTTCCTTTTTCTCCCCAAAGCCCCCCGGTACATAGTTGTATATTCTTCGTTGTGAGTGCTTCTAGTTGTGGCATGTGGGACGCCGCCTCAGCGTGGTTTGATGAGCAGTGCCATGTCCGCGCCCAGGATTCGAACCAATGAAACACTGGGCCGCCTGCAGCTGAGCGCGCGAACTTAACCACTCAGCCACGGGGCCAGCCCCTACATGTGATCATTTTTAAAGTAATTTCTTCCTATTGTATTTTACAGGATATCAGTCTGCAATTGGTTAGGGGCAGAAAGGAGGGAGAAACCTGAATCTTCCTCACAGACAGCTTGAGAAGCCCTGCTCTAGACCTTCCACTCTCCCTGCCCTGCATTTCTCAACCTCGGCTTAGCCCGGCAAGCTGCAGAAATGGGTCCCTCAAAGTCACTAGCGGGGCTCATTGCGAAACTGTGGCTTCCTTCTGGTTCTCATTCTCCTCAATATTTCCTGATATTTTACTGTTGATCACGTCTTTGTTCTTAAAACTGTCTCTCCCTGAGATTATTGAGCCTCTTAGCTGATTTCTTCATCATCCTTCCATCTTCTGAATCCAGGTTCACCAGGTAATAGCATGGTTGGAAGTGAGCTAATTTAGGAAGAGTAGTTTGTCTGTTGAGTATAGTGTGGTGAGAGTGGGAATCGAGGAGATGGGTCACCAAGGAGGGGAAGGGTGCATGTGTTAGTCAGGATTCCCCCGAGAAAAAGAAGCAATAGGATATATATCTATGTATAGACATGTCTCTATCTATCATCTTTCTATCTATTGGGATAGAGAGAGAGAAATCATAAGGAATTGGCTCATGCGATTATGATGGAGGCTGAGAGGTCCCACGATATGCAGCTGGCAAGCTGGAGACCCAGGAGAGCCCATGTGTAGTTTCAGTCTGAGTCTGAAGGGTGAGAACCAGAAGAGTCAATGGTGTAAGTTCCAGTCTCAAAACCTGCATGGTCAAGATCCAAGGACAAAAGTTGAGTTTGAGTCTGAAGGCCAGAAAAGACCAATGTCCTGGCTCACAGAGGTCAGGAAGGAGGAGTTCCCGCTTATTCTCGGCAGGCTCAGCCTGTTTGTTCCATTCAGGCCTTCAGCTGACTGAATGAGGATCACCCACCTTCGGGAGGGCAATTTGTTTCCTTAAATCTACTAACTCAAATGTTAACCTAATCCCAAAACACCTTCACAGACATACCCAGAATAACGCTTGACCAAACATCTGGGCACCCTGTGGTCCAATCTAGTTGACGCATAAATTAACCATCACAGCGCATACGCAGTTCAGATGAGAGGTGATAGAACTGCATATAGGTGGTAGTCAGGTGGTGGAAAGGAGAGGAAAGGACCAAGCTGAGAGACTGTTAGGAGAGGGACGGTGGCAGGATGTGGGATATGAGGGAGAGGGAACAGGTGAGGCTGACTCCCAGGCTTGGGTAGCAGGATTCCAGGAAGGGCCAAATCCAACCGGACATCTCCCCAGCACCTCAAAGTTAAAGTCAAAGTATCCATAATGAAACCCCTTCCCTCATCCTCTCCCAATGCCTTCCTCTCACCCCCAGCTCCTTTTCTGGACTGCTGTTCTGTGAACCATCACCGTTCTTCCAATCACATGGGCTGAAAACCTGGGCTCACCTTTGCTTCCCTTCTTTTATGTCCCATGTCTTGTCCCATCTATAGAGTCCTATAGAGCCCATTTCCGCAGACTCACTCTCTTCTAGCCTCTCATTTCCTTTCATATTCCTTAGCAACCAGCTAGACCAGACTTATTACTTCTAGCCAGGCTCTTGCAATGTTCTCCTAAGGCATCTTCTTCTCAGCACCTCTGTGATCTAAACCACCTTGCTTGTCACTGCCAAGTAGTCTTAAGTAGTCTTTGTCTTCCCTCCCCCAAGTCCCCAGTGCCTCCTTGTTACCTACTAATGATGTCTAGTCTCTTTGCCGGGGATTCAAGGCCCTCTATGACCTGGATCTAGCAGATGTCGTCAGGTTCATCTTCTGTCCTATGTTATCCAGCTCTCTGAATGCCAGGCACTGGGCTAGATCTCTCAGGTCCCTCAGGTCGTGGAGGGAAAAGCAGCGTTCATTGAGAACTCATGGTGAGGGCCTTTAACCTGACTCATGGTTCTCAGTATGCTGAGCCTTAAAGAACTTTTAGCAATTAGCCAGGAAGAGGAAACAACACATGCTAAGGCCTAGATATGAGAAAGAATGTGATTAATTCCAGGGCCTAGCAGAAAAGTACGTGGCTGAACCCACAGAGGGCAAGGGCAAGCTCAAAATGATGCCGGAGGGGCACAAGGCAACTATCTTAAGAACGTGGAATTTAATTCTAAGGGCAGTGGGAAACTATGGAAGGATTTTAAGTAAGGATGTAAAATGATCAGATTTGCCTTTTAAAAATTTCACTCTAACTTCTACAGATTTTAACTATTGCTCACCTCTTTTTTCCCTAAAACTTTCTCTAATTTTTTTTTTGAAGAAGATTATCCCTGAGCTAACATTTACTGCCAATCCTCCTCTTTTTCCTGAGGAAGACTGGCCCTGAGCTAACATCCGTGCCCATCTTCCTCTACTATATATGTGGGACGCCTACCACAGCATGGTGTGCCAAGCAGTGCCGTGTCTGCACCCGGGATCCGAACCAGCGAACCCCGGGCTGCTGAAGCAGAATGCGCGCACTTAACCGCTGCACCACTGGGCTGGCTCTTTCTTTAACATTTTTAACCCTTTGCTAATTTTTATCTCCACTTAAGTTAAGAATTCCAAAACTTAATTTCTTTCAAAGAAGCAATTTCATATAACTTCTCTCTTGCACACCCTGTGTTCTCTGGAACACAATTTGAGAAACACTGACTTAAATAATTTCCTCTGCCTGGGAGCCTCCTGGCCCTATTGAAATCCAGCGCATCTCACCAGACCCAGATCCAAGTCATCTTTCCAGTCCTGGCACAAATGTCTGGAGCCTCTCCCAGATCCCACTGTCAGCTCTAAGCCAAGGCCCCTTCCAGAGCTTAAAAGGCTACAATTCTAGGGTATTGGAGACCTCTGTCTTTTCTGACCTCCTGTGCTGGGGAGTTGACACATCTCCTGGGCACTCATCAGTGGAGCTTGCATTAGAGCAGAATGTGTGTGTCTCAATCTCCCCTTGAAGGCATGGGTTGCGGTTATTAGTTTCTGCATCTCTCTCACTCTCCCACTACCTTGTCCAGAGGAGGAACTTCATTGCTATTTAATTAATTCTCACCCTGTGAGAAGCCACCCTCCCACTACTCTAGGCCACATATAAATACAGCTCCTGTGTAGCTTTGACAGAACTGCCGTCCTCCCAACCTTGTTGGGGTGTCTGTCAGCGCCTGTGCCTGCAGGCATGCCAGAGGGGAGAGCTCTACAGAGCTCAGTCTGCTGGGATCCTAAAGCCCTGGCAAACTCCTGTCACCCACCCGATATTTTTAGCCCCCAGATTAAGGCTCTGGAATGCTTTCCAGAGGTCCCCAAGGATCTCTGGAATGCACAGACCCAGATGAGTACGTGAAGGGCAAATTCATCTCTCCACTTAATGCTTTCTCAGCTTCCCAGTCGGTGAACCAGGGAAGAGAAGGTCTGCTTCCTGTTGCGTCTTGGCTGTTTCTCAGCCTGCTCCTAAGAACAGGCTCCCTGTGGTCCAAAGGCTATCACAGCTGCGCTTCCCCTTTTGTGATAGCGTGTGTGTGGTGAAGGCAAGTGGGGAGTAATGGCTTTTGTCAAGGAGTCTGTCCTCTCCCGCGTCAGTGTCGGCTCCCCTTGCAGGGGCTTGTTCCTCCGGCTCCTTGTGGGAAGGACTGTCAAAGGATGTCAGGATAAATTCTCTGCTCTTACTTGTGCCTTTTCTCTCACTCTCTCTCCTCTCCCTCCTCTCTTTTGATTCTGTCTTGATGTCATCTCTTCAAAGTATACTACCTGTAAAATATTGATTCACAGCAGGCTGCATCTGCCAGGATCAGATTTCTCTTCTGCTGGCAGCAGTAATAAACTAGCACAGACACTGCAGACCTGGTGCCAGCTTCATCGCCGCTTCACACACATCCGTCTGTCTGTTCCCTGACTCTACATAATGAAACAGCGTCCGGAGACATTTCAGAGATAGAAAAACCAAGTAACGACCAGTGGGGACATAAAAGTGCCAGGGCAGCCTGCAAACAGAGGGGGTAACAAGTATCACCCCAAGCAGTAGATGAAACTGAAGCTCCCTGGTTTTCTTAGAACAGCTGGAAAAATAGCGGTGGGAGACAAGGCCGCCCAGCTAACCACCCATGGGAGCGTCACGGCAATGGTCCCCCACCTCCTTTCCGTCCTTCCTCCTTTCCTCGGTCATCTTTGGAAGCTTTGTGGAATTGCACCTTGGAGCACTGATAACTTATAAACCTGCTGGGAATATCAAACCTAGAAGAAGATCTTGTCTAACAAAGACGTGAATTTTATTTGTGTAGGAAAAGGAGAATTCATGGCTGGGCAGCAGGGCAGGGTAGTGAAGAGCTGGGACTCTGCAGCCTGAACGTGGGTTGGGTACTTGGCTCTGCTACTTACCGTCCATGTGATTTGGAGCAAGTTACTAAATATATGTCCCCATTTCCTTGTTGGTGTAATGGGATTGTTGTTACGATTAAGCGAATTAACAGTTGCAATGCGTTGAGCATAGTGCCTGGCATGTAGCACTATTGAAATGTTTCTTAAATACGTACATACAATTCCTCTTCCCTTTAGAGGTTGTAACTCATCCTCCTGGAAGGTTTCCAGCGCAGCTAGGCGGCTGGCACGACCAAACCCCCGAGGGGAGCCTGAACATTCTCCTCTTGCTTTGTCTGCAGATGTGCACTGGTTCAAAGGTGTCCCACTCTCCGGGAAGGTGACTCTTGATTCAGAAGCCAACAGTTGTGGGAAGGGTTTCCTGAACCTCAGTGGCACTTGTCTGTGTCATTCGCATCCTGGCTGGGGGAGGAAAGTATTAAAAAGAGAAGCGGCCATCCGAAGTCAGTAAATCCGTCATCAGACATGACAGCTGTGGGTTTGCATTCTTGTTTTACTGCGACTTTGAGCAAGTTGGTGAAGGTGGCCATGGCATCCGGCTCCAGCCTGTGAAGAGTTATGATTTTCCACTGTATGAAGCTACTGAAGGGACCCTAGCACTTAGCACCCTCCAGGGAGCCTTCCCTTTTGCAGTGCAGGGAAATTTACCCCTTGTGACCAACTGTTAAGCTTCCTTTGAAGCCCCTTTTAATTCAGATTTGGTTCCAGTCACGATGGCTTCAGAGTCAGTGGGGAAAACGTTTACGATATGACAAACTAGCAACCTGTATTTTTTACGTACTGTTAGAGAAATCATGGGTCTTTTATACTGGCGTTCTTTTACTTTTTGTTAGGAGAGGTGTCCTTTGAGACCCTCAGTTCCTCACTTTATACTCTTTCTCCTCTTCAAGCCTCAAAGCTCTCTGCACAGCAGCAGGTTTCCCTTTGATGAGGTAGGCTGGAGGAAGTTCCACCTGAAGCCTGCCAGAGTCAATGGCTGTGGTCAAAAGGGAGTCTGCTGAGTCCAGAGAAGCAGCCATCCCACAATGAGGGGTCTACTTCCTTCAGAACGAGGAGGCTTATTTCCATTCCCCAAAGGGTCTTGAAGGGCACTATAATCTCATGGGCTTTGTGTGGGCCCAATGTGCCCACCCTGTCGCCCTCACCATGGCATGCTCACAGAACGATCTAGTTCTTAAATTATTGTTTGTGGCCTTTTTCAGATATAGAGCAGAAGATTGGCACTGTGCAAAGCATCCAAAGGTGGGGCTGTGGGAGACAGAATGTCTGAGCATAAAGAGTGGTAAGGGAAGTGCCAGCAGAAAGACTCAAGGGCTAAATCTTGACCTGAGCCAGGTTTTGTCAAAGATGTGATATGGGGAGTGAATGTCCCGTATAAAAAAGGGAGGTGAAGGGAGGGCTACTCGGAAAGCACAGGAAGGGTTAGCTGCCTGGGTTTGGAGAGCAGTTCTGCAGTTGTGTGGCCTTGGGGACAATGACTTCACCTCTCTGTCTCTAGTTCCTCATCTTAAAAATGGGTTGTTATGAGGCTTGAACGTGGTAATCCACGTAAAGTGCTTAGCACAGAGACTGGTGCATAGTAAAACTCAGATTAATGTTAACATGTTAGTATAAAGAAGTGTTAAGAGTAAGGAATTCCTCAGGATAAAACCCCTTGGGAACACAATGGGGAAAACCATGGAAAATAGATTTTTTAAAGGCCAGTTAATAAGGAACTTAAAAGTCACCGTTGTATTTTATCCACCAGCAAAATTGTTCACACTCTTCCTCCTATTTACCTGCTTACTTCCCCGGTAAGCAGTAGGCACTCAATAAATATTTGTTCAATAAGTGAACAGATGTTCAGTCTTATATTTATATCTGTGAGCTCAGTGGTTAGCAGTAGCCTAAAAAATTTCACCATTGGCTCCACTGATCTGATTATAGTTTTATTGTTCTTTTCAACTAAAAGGAAATCTTTCTGTTGTTTGCTTTGTTCTAGGATCTGAAGCTTAAGAGTCCGTGTTAACTTGCATGACTGAGTTAACCTAAACCATGTTAAGTGTTTCTTATGCATTCATTTAACCAAATTACCAAAGAACAAAATAGACTAAACAATATTCCTTGGTAAATATTAAGACAGAGGTAGATGGAAGATCCTATGGAAACACAAAGAAAGAGAGTTTTACCCACCTTGTGAGTGTGTGCCTGTGGGGAAGGAGGAGCTCAGAAAGGTTTTCAAGAGGTGTTGGCATCTAACATTCTGGTGGTGATGTGTTACATTTCAGTGAATAGGTGGATACTATGGCAAGAAAAATGTTTGTAGACTAACTAAACATTTGGCGAAATATTCTCTGGTATAAGGGGATGAAAATCCTAGGACGTGGAAGTGTGACTCAACATCTAGCCTTGCAAAGTATAAAACAAAGAAATATCCTGGCTGAACTTCCCTAGTGTGAGTCTCTTTAACTTTTCTTTCTTCTCTTTCTTTTTTTCCCTCCCTCCTTCCTTCCCTCTCTCCCTCCCTTTCCTCCTTCATTCCTTCCTTCTTTCCTTGCTTCCTTCCTTCCTTCATCCCCGTTTTCTCTCTTTCTCTTTCTTTATTTTCCAGCTTTATTGAGATATATACTTGACATCTTTAACTTTTAAAAGCAATTTGATTCTGTGATTATTCTATGGAAGGTCAATGAGAATTTGGAGAGCAGATTGATGGGGAAGATAAGTCATTTATGACTAGCTAAACTACAATTACAGATTCTGGTGGCAGGAATTAACCAAAGAAGGCAGTGGTGTCACGTAGGGCATTTCTCTCATAGTTTCTGTAAGAGAGAGAATGAGCAAGCTTTATTTTATATTGACTGACTAATATCTGTCATAGAAGAACAATGCCAAGAGTTAAATAGAAATATCAGGAGATCACTTTTATTAATAACATTGAGACAGGACACACAGTGCCTGCCATATTACTTAAGAAATTGCTTGGATAACAAAAACCCTTTTACTTCATGAGTAAACACAGACAAGGGTATATGAGTCACAGGGAAGCTAGTTCAGGTAATGGCTTGGCATCTGCAATGGTAAAAAGAAATGATGAAGGGTTGGAAAGCAAAGGGAAAACTCATTTGAAGAGGGAGAATCAATAATCTTAGCTAGCATGTTTGCTCATCTGTAAAATGAGGAGTTTGGGGCTGGAGTGAGTCCAAACTTCTTGCCGTCTATGACACATCATGGAGCTATGGATCCAATAAGAAGCGGACAGGCAGTAGAGGGAATCGACTGTCTCATTTATTAAAACTTATTATGCTTTTCTTCTCAAGAATGGAAAGTTTTGCAAACAATGTTTAAATCCAGGGCATTATGAAAGATAAAAATGAAAATATAACAAATTAAAGGCAAAAATAACAGAGCACAAATAAAAGTAGTGTCACACTGTCAAACTGATGCTTTAAAGCATATGCTATTTTCTCTGGGAGTGAGATATGTGCAAAGTTCACTAAATCTTTGGGATATCAAATAACATTTAGTACACCATCTCTTTGTTGTACTAAAAAGTATGCCCAAAGCTCCAAAGAGTGGGGAATTTCAGAAAACTTCAGCAACTTATAGTCGTGGTGTAGCTTTGGCATTGAGAGAATCTGCTTCAAAATGAAAAATGAGATCAGTGCATGTTACAGGTTCCTAAAGATTTATATGTTCAGTTGAACACTTTGGAAGAGAGAGATGTTCACCAAAATGTGTGCTCTCCAATCACAGAGTTGTAACTGGAAAGTGGTTGCCCAGTCACGGACATCTTTGCCAAGCTCCTTGCCTCTTGGTGGGATTATGTGACTATTCTTGTCAGTGGGCTGTTAGTGGAAGTGATGTACATCATTTCTTGGGCCAGGATGTGAAGAATAGAGCGTGCCTGCATCACAGTCTCTGTTTGCCCTTATGATTGGAGGTAGTAGATTCCCCAGTCCTAGGGGATGTCAGAACCTGAGGATGGAAAAAGCCTAGATCCGTGATGCACTGCATGGAAGAAATCTGCTCATCTAGAAACCCCACATAGTGCTGTTAAATGAACAAGAAATAAACTTCTATTGAACTTTTGGGGTTTACTTGTTATAGCAATTACCTGGTCGATATAGGCACCAAATCCCTTGTTCAGTACAGGATGGCAAATTAGTTCATTGGAGAGATACACACATACTCTAATTTATGGGTGATGGAGCCTGGTGGAAATCCTGACATGTCCTGTGGTCTAAAGTCATAAGGAAATAGAAATTAGTATTCCTTTTTTTGTGGTGTTAAGCTCTTGTAAAGTAACTGGAATGCTCTGGCTTTCTTCTTGTCTAAGTCAAGGCGGGACATTTTGTTTCACCCATTCAGAAGCATCAAAGAGTTGCTTCTTGATAATTGCCAGCTTGATTTCAGAGAAAAAAAACAAATTTCTGATATTTCCTTGGTCATAATTGATGAAAGGGGACAAGTATGACTGGTATGAAGTGGGCAAAAAAAATATGATTAAGACTATAGCAGAAAATGCCATTCATTTTTACCCTTACTCCATGAGTTTAGAAAATGAACCACAGAATCTTCAATAGCCGCATTATATTTCTGCTATTGCTAACATTATAAAAACACAATGGACCGAATAACATGTGCAATAGATACATCTGCTGGTCAAAGGAATTTCCTTTTAAAACCCAAACTTCCCGCTTTTAATGGGCACTCACAGTTTTTGTAGCTGCTTGTGTTCAGAACACTCTTTAAGCCCTGAGCTAAAATAAACCCAAGAGTTAGATAAACAGTCTGATGTAGTCTTAAAGGCAGAACTCTACATACTTGTAAAGTTACAGAAATAGCACAATTGTAGAAATTGATAGAAACTGATCATAACCAAAACCTGGGCAGGGGAAAATTGATCACTATAAAAAAAGTGTGATAAAACAGTTTAATTAGTATGATGACAAGATGAAGGAAACAAGCACAATTATGGCCAGGACTGCTATAGTTATGTCAATATATTAAATACACAAGCTAGTTTGGGCAAAACTAATAAGAACCTCTCTGCTAGGGCAAAGCCGGATGTTTCAAGATACCTTTGTGTTTTGAACACCTTGAAGAGTCCTGCTTTCTCTCTTGCATGTCTTTTTGTGTGTGTAATTCACGGAAAGGCTTTATCAGTTTATGCTTACCTCACTTAACACCTTTTGTGTGAAGATTAAATGTTAAATCGCTGTTCTTCGAAACTCTCCAAAGCAGCTCAGTTAACATTTTAGTAGACTCCTAAAAATTTTTCATTTTCTTTTTTAATGATTGGGGATTACTTAGAAATAACAAGTTCCACCAGGGCCAGGACTAGGGTGAGGGAGTAGATGGCTAGGGTGTAAAATTTAAGAAGGCATTCATGTTTACTCTGCACCTGTGTGACCCTGAGAGTGAGTTCCTCCTTAAATTTTGTGCTCTAGGCACTTCACTCACCTCGTCCTAGTCCCATCACTATATGCCACAGATTAACTAGTGTGAAAAGTGTACATCTAATGTGTGTGGATCAAGCTGAGATTGCTTAAACATAGTTTCTATCTGAGTTTGGATATCTGGTAGTAACTTAATGAAAATTGCAGGGAAATCAGCTCCAATGCCAAGGTGAGTTCCTGCTGAGCAAATGACACCAGGAAAGAAAAGCTCCTCTTTTGGTCTTTGCTTGAATAATAATAATAATAAAAAGACCTGTAATTGGATTTCCATAAAGACTTGGAGAACTCACATCTTTATAACTTTTCAGATTGAAAGGTAGTCCTTTTGAATTCTATTAAATTTGCAGCCTACATTTTTCAGAAAGCAAGATTATGAAGCTTCTGAAGGAAACCAGGAACAATGAAGTGAGCAATATTTGCATTCACAAGTTATTCTGTGTTGGCAGATTGTCATCTTTTGTAGAAATATCACAATTTTTCAAAAAGGCCACTTTGAAGATAAAGAATTATAATTAATCTTTTTTTGCTGTTAATAAAAAAGTCATTTTGAATTCTCACTTTGACAATCAAAGATCCCATTGCCCTTTGCATGGGGCAGCCCGCTCACTTCAGGTAACCACGTTGCAATCAAGGGCACCAGCCCCCTCTCATCTTCAAATCTGCTGGAGTAATAGCCCACATTCACACCCCTGCCACTGAAGTGTCTAAAGGTTCCTGTTAGCAGAGGAATGAGAACCCTATTACCTAGGAAATTTTAGTAGCCCAAGAGCTAAAGAAATGGGAGCTAATAGCTTTAGTAAAAAAGAGTAAGTAGCAAATTTCATGGATGGATCAGAAAATCGTATATTTATATTCTTACCCTAGTTTAAAATCCTAAGCCTCAGTGACATGTGAGAGGAAATTGGCTACATTAAGTTCACTGAGGAGAAAACAAGACCTCTGAAAAGAATGCCTTTCTTCCCTGATTACTTACAGGAGTTTCGAGGGATCAAGATTGGTAGATTGAATCTTCTGTCTTAGAAAATTGTAGATTTTCACATCACATGAAAGATGGTGGCAGTTTTTGTACATATGCAACTAGACATAGTGACGTCACAGTTAGAGCTCAGAAGGTGGCCATCAATGTAACTGTTATGTGGAACGCATGGCTTCTAGGATACCATAAAACACTACTCTGGGTTTGCTTCTACTGCCCCGTTAAAATTTAGGCAGTGGGGAGAATCTTTCTCTGTCCCTGGATGGAAGATCACATGACTTTCACGCTTATTCTTAGGTGAAAGATTTGTATATGATCCCTTTAAGCCAAAAGCAAAGTCCAGAAATTAGATTTTTTTGGCCCAAATGTTAAACCATTGTTTACATCATCTTTTAAAGGTAAGACTTCTGCCCTGAACGCCTACTGCCATTCTGACACCTGTAGCTGACACTTCATTTTCTGCTTGCTAGCTGCTTTTCATCTCCACCAGCGTCAAAATTGGGGGAAGGAGAAGCGAGGGCATAGGATTCTTCCTTTAGGGTGCTTTCCTCATTCTTTTTTTTTTTCCCCCCAAAGATTGGCACCTGGGCTAACAACTGTTGCCAATCTTTTTTTTTTCTCCCTGCTTTTATCTCCCCAAATCCCCACTGTACACAGTTGTATATCTTAGTTGCATGTCCTTCTAGCTGTGGGATGTGGAACGCTGCCTCAAGGTGGCCTGACGAGCAGTGCCATGTCCGCGCCCAGGATCAGAACCCTGGGCCGTCGCATTGCAGTGCACAAGCTTAACCACTAGGCCATGGAGCCGGCCCCTTTCCTTATTCTTAAGAGAGTGCCATCACCAGGGCTTCTCACCTGTAGTTCCCTCAGTGTAGGTGGCGTTGCATGTGACCCATTCCTGGGCTCCAGGGCAGCGGTGGGTCATCTCCTGCCTCCTCCTGTTGGAGTCTAAGACCCAAGATAATCTTGCTCACTTGTGGACTCCTTCTGGTGCAAGAGAAACACTGGTGCTCTAGGTACAGACTGACCCAGGGAGCTGGTCACTCTGCCACCACGGTTCTCAGGTGTGTTGGGCATGACTCTCAATGGCTCTGTTGCAGAGAATGCTCTCACTAGGCTTGAGCTGAAGGAGTTGCACCCCCACTGAGGATCCTCACACTGCTAGTAGGTCACAGATAATAACTCCCTCCAAATAAATCTCTTCACAAAGTCCCCTCGCCCTTCTTTCCAGCCTTCACCCTTTTCTATCCTTGTATATAGTGGCTCTCTCATGCTCACGTTAGCGCCTCCTGCATTAGTCAAAATTGAGTCAAAAATGTGCTACCTCAATAAAACAGAATAATCAAGAGATTTTCTATTAAACAAACATAACTTAATAAAATGTCTAGTGATTTAATGATTTGTGTCTGCTTAATGTGATCTATGTGGTAAAAGTCCTTTGCTGAAGCCGGCTTAGTCCCGGCTGTGGTACAGCTCACACTCAGCTAGATTGTGTGGAGTGTGTCAATCCTCACCAAGTACTTTCACCCAAACCCCTACCTGCTTGGCCTCTCAAGTGCAGAGATGCATGCTCCCTACTCACCTGGGCCCAGCCAGGACATGGGTATCCCCCACCTGTCGTTCATTCCCTGGCTGATTTTAGGCAACTCTGCCTAGTCCCTCAAAAGATGGAGGTGCTTTCTAAATGTCTATTTCTTTTAAAGGGCAATAAATATTTCCCCCTGTTATATACTATATTAAATCTATAACTCACAAAAAAAAATTTCATAACCTATTGGCCTAATACCCTTTACACATAATTTAACCTCCTCAAGAAGGTGTCTTGTCGAGCATCAGGGGCATGAATACGATTGCTAGTTCTTCCAAAGCAGCCATACGCATGTTCAGAAAAGTAAACTGGATTCCACCCTGGCCACCTGGGGGGCAGGAGCTGAAAGCTGCTCCCTCTTGAGAACCCAGAATGTGTAGAAGGAACTCAGGTGAGTGACACAAGAGGATTATAATCTAGGGAACTTGGAGGAGCTACATTAATCAGTACCCAACACCTAAAGATCTTTCCTCCTTTGTACTTTCCTTCTTTTTTTCTTAGTTTTAGAACTCTACATTGGCAGGTAGGCCTCAGGAAGTATGTTGAGGCTGAGAGAAGAAGCTGGAAGCTGACTGTTTCAGGAGTGTTCCTGGCTGGAGGACTTTAGGAGGCAGTTGGTGTTTCTTACTAAGTTGTTCCCCTCAGCTCACCAGGGTGGGAAGTTGACATATACTGAAATAACACAGGGAGAGAAGGGAGCCTAGCATAGAATAAAATTTTACAGACAATTGTAATTCACTGCATCAGTATTCAAGCCACATACTTTTTGCTCTTGAAAGCTTTAATGTGGGCAAAATCTTACCTAAGCAAAATATTTTCCTCCAAAGAAAAGTGTGAATGACCAAAATGAAGTAATTCTCTATAATTTTCTGTTCTTTACCATAGATGATTCAATTCAATACATCTTATTGAATATCTTCTCTATGCTTGCAATGGAGACATAAATTTAAAGAGGATGCAGCCCTGCCTTCCAGGAGCTTACCGTGAGGAGGATATCGACTGGTGTTTGATAGTTAACCATCCACTGCTTTAAACCAGAATTGGTTTTCAGAGCAGCAATGAAACTACTAGTTTTCTACTATGTGATGATCATGACGAAGGAGGAGATTTCTAATGTCAAAAATTTCTCCTCCACAGAACCCAGAGGATGTTAATAGCGCAATGACATCTACAACCAAAAGCCATATACTCTATTCTTTTATTCATGAGAGAAGACTGAAAATTTACCTGAGATATGCATGTCTCCTCTTGCCAGCACTCTTTTTTATTATTATTATTTTTTATATGACTGTCTTTTTTTTTTAAGATCGGCACCTGAGCTGACAACTGTTGCCAAACTTATTATCTTTTCTGCATTATCTCCCCCAATCCCCCTGGTACATAGTTGTATATCTTAGTTGCAGGTCCTTCTAGTTGTGGTATGTGAGACGCTGCCTCAATGTGGCCTGACGAGTGGTGCCATGTCCGCACCCAGGATCCGAACCAGTGAAACCCGGGGCCACCGCAGTGGAGCGCGCAGACTTAACCACTCAGCCACAGGGCCGGCCCCAACTTTTTTTATTATTATCTTTTAATTCCAATAGGATACCTCCTGTTTCGGTGATTTAAGCAAAAAGTTATTTCTTAAATCTCATCCCCAGGGTTTATTCTTTCATTTACTAGGGAACGCAGTTTCGTGGCCTATTGTGCAACCCCACTATCCATTCTATAACTCAGCATATCGTTTTACTTTCAAGCTTATCAATCTTACATGTTTGGTGTAAAGCAAATTCACCTTTTTCTCCAGCATAAAGTTTTTTTAGAATGAACCAGCATCTTGTGTGCCAGTTAAGTGAGATTCTCCTCTATAATATTGCCTAGTGCTTTCCTACCTTCATGCTTTTTTGTTTCTTCCCTCTTTTCTTTCCATCTCCATTCGTTAAATCCTTCCTACGTTCTATGGATAATGCAAAGCTGCCTTTCCTAGTTACCCCAAGTAAGTCTCCTCTGATCTCCCAACCAAAAGCAAACTTTTTTGTTGTGAATGCCCATTGTGTTAGTCATTAGTGCTATTCACTGTATTGGGTTCTCTCTCTCATTTGGGGCATGCTGTAAAATTGCTCCTCCCTGGCCCCGAACTCACGCATGGTCGTGGCACATTTTAAGCCAAGAAAATGTGAATGGAAGTAATATGTGTCACCTCTGTGTGGAAGCTTGAAGAGTCACTATATGCTTTGCCATATTCTCTTTTCCTTCTGCCATGGTGTTGAGTGATACTCCAGGTAGTGGCGGCTCCATCAGCCTGGATGTAGAGTGAGAATGATGATGATGTAGAATTGAGCCCCTAGTCAGTCTGCAATAGACGTGTAATATGAGGAAGAAATAAACCTTTGTTGTTTAGGCCGTTGAGATTGTGAGGTTGTTTGTTATTGCAGCAAAACCTAGTTGATTGTGACTGACAATATGGATACAAAATGCTGATATCTTTTTTTACCCAATTCACTTAGAAAATGTGTATTGCTATTCAGTCCCATTGAGCCTTCTGATAACTAGCAAATACCCCAGCTAATGCCTGACTGTAACCACAAGAGGGACTCCAAGGAAGAACTAAGAAGGAAAGCAGAGTTTTTGGTCACGAATTTTCTCAGTGGCTATAGAGATTCTTTTCAAAGGAGTCTTTTATACATAAGGACTGTGTGCAAGTTAGACGTGAATAAGGCAGACCTTCCTTGGCTGACCCTATAAGGCTGGTGTTTCCAAGCTTCTGCCCTTGGCCCTCTCCTTTTCTATGCATATTTCCCTTCAAAAACCCCATACTCCACCATGATTTCAACAACAAACTTTATGTCTATGACTCCAATGTCTGTTTTTCTAGTTCTAAGAAGACTTGCCTAGCTGAGCCCTTCCTAATTTTCTGACCTGCAATGTCATGAGCAAAATAAAATGGTTATTTTAAGCCACTAAGTTATGGAGTAATTTGTTATACAGCAATAGTAATCAGAACTGTGAATTACTTTCAGTGCTCCTTCCCTCACTACTGCTGGTCCTGTAGGGGACCTAGGGGCTGGCAGCCTCCTTTGTCCTTATCCCACAGCCCCTTACGCAGGACCCATCCTGACCTTGACCCATCCTCACATCCCCACACTTCATCGCTTCTGAGATCCTAATTCAGAATAGTCTGGATGGCATGTCAAGTGTGGATGAATCTAACCAGTCCTTTTTGTTCTCAAAGGTGTGTCCAGTAGTAATGTGCAATCTTGCTTTCCCTTTCAGGGTATTGGGATGAAAAGAGAAGAGTGTTGGCATAGGGAAGATTCTATTTATTCTTTGTCTGATTTTCCCTTGATTGTGATGGTAAAAAACTTTTAAAAAGTTTCTAAGAATCCATGTACTGGCTTCTGATGTAGGAACATGGCGGTACACCATTGCTCTGGATAGATTAGCTAGACTTTGTAGAGTATCAATGCTGATGAATAGTGGGAATGATGCTGTCAGGATAGGCTGTGGCCAGGATGTGAAGGACC